GATGCTGGACTTTACTCGGGGAGCCTTCCACAATGATGAAATGGATTCTTCCGGGGTTTCAACAGCCGCAGCTTCACCAGTAAGACACGATCGAAGATAGTGTAGACGCTGTTGATCGTTGAGGAATTCATTTCGCCGGACCAGCAGGTTGAACTGACTCTGGAAATAGATCCACTGCTCGTAATGCCCACTGAAATGTGGCAACGTAATTTTCGGAAGCTTGATAGAAGAATCAGGGAAGGGCTTTTGAGAAACACTGGTGTCGAGAGAGGGCTTTGTATATTGGGGGTCCGAAAGGGGTTTAAATTTTTTGGTGATCTGATAATTAATCTCACTTAACAGATCGTAATATTCTTCACCTTCCGTTTCGATAACCGAAACTTCATAGTCCTTGACTAGGCCGTAAAGTTTGGTCTCGTTCTCAAAAAAGGATTCACGCATTTCGTCAAGACCCTGTTTGCAGATTTCAAGTTGCAAAAGATCTTCTCCATCCTTGAAAGAGGTCACGAAGGTCAAAATTTTTGTAGCGCGTTGTTCCAGTGCTTTGGAACAACAAAATGGAGGCTTTCCTCTCGGCGGCCATTTTTATCAAGGAACAATTACGAGGATCGACGCCAGGGAGACAGCGCCTACACCACCACCGCCTACTACCCTACCTTTACCCATCGGCTTTACTTCCCTTCCGAAGGAAGACGTGATGAGAGATTTTGTGCCTCAGAAAATCCCGGCGGCGCCGACTGGGATTGAACCCAGGCCTTTTGGGGTGAGAGGCAATCACGCTAACCACTACACCACCGGCACCGCTATGACCGAAAAGTTATTCCTATTTCCAATTAAACACATATAAACTCATAGTGATAGCAATGTTTAACATATTAAGCAGGGTTTTAATCATACAAAGCAGCTAGCTAGCTAGCTTTCATGCTAAAAAATACTGGTTTTTCAGTTATTATACGTCGTTTGGTGTCCCCCAATGTTACTTAAGTCAAAGTGTATTTACCAGGATATTCGGGAGAATTATCAATCACGTCTCCTTACGTGCAGCCCATTCATCATTTAGGGCCACCGAAATCATCTTAGCAACAAACAGTTCGATTTTTTCACTTTAATAATGAGAAAGCGAGACAACGAACGTACATTTTTCACGGAAATCGAAATCGGGTGACTTAAGTAACATCGAAACATATTTTGATCGGGAGGTGATTACGTCAAACATCAATATGACTGACAGTATATAGTGTAATAGCTGGAGCATCGATTGGCACTGATACCTCTTCTTCTTCTTCTTCTTATTCCCTTTATTTAACGTTGGTCTCTGTTTCGCAATCTAGTCACCGACAAACCGACATGACACTTTCCTGACTTATGCCCGAAAATCGTAAACGGCCGATTTAAATGTACAGTGATCCGAACTGTCAAAACTATAGGATTTTTTTATCTAGATAAAAATAATCTATCCAAAATAGATCAGACACGAACCAATTCATAACTTTTGCATGCGGGTTAATGGCTTAGCTAAATATTTCCCGCGAACACTGAGCCAGATGTCAGTAGCACAGACAAACAGACATAACACATTGAATATTTCTCACTGTAAAACATCGTCGCTAAAACATTACCGCCATCTGTTGAGTACACTGTGGTGGGCACTACGCTGAACAGATGGCGGTAGTGTGTAAACGTCAAACGCAAGGGAATTTACTATGCGCGCCACAGGTGGCGGTACTACCAACTACGTTACTTTTAAATTGTCCGTTAAATGCTTGTTCGATCAACAACTTGCGAGTGTTATGTCTGTTTGTCTGTGTCAGTAGTGTTGTAACGGGCTACTCGCCGAAAGGTTCTTTTCCAAGTGTATCAACCTCTCCACTTAAGCGCCAAGCAAGCAAAAGAATCACTCGCATGTGAAGAGGCAGGGTTTGCTCGTGCCCGGTGAGACTCCTCAAGGCGAGTCCTTCAAAATACTACTCCGATTTCCGATCGTACCACAACCAACGCTTCCCAATATGACCCCTAGATAATGTAGTCAACTCAATTATCAGACTTTTCTCTTTTGCTCACGACAATCATGGTTGGTTATTCTTTTTTCATACACATTGTATTCGGTTTTGAAAGGGGTTAGTTAATAGCCATCGGCTCTGCTATACCGACCGTAGTTCAAAATCAACTGTCTAATGACTTCACTTAGTTTGTCCCATTTATTACTATTCTAGAATCTTCTTATCTTCGGTGTAGGTGTGTGTGTGTGTTGATGCCTTCTTATTCTATTTATAGGTTACCTGGACTGATCTAACCTGTTATGCTCGGAGGGACTGCAGCCGTATACTACCTCTCGCTGATGATGCTGTCAGTGGTGCGTGTCTCGGCTATGACGAAATTTCTCCTCGAGACATCCACCACACGGGTACACGTTTTGATTCGGTTTTTTTTAGCGGGCCCGCTTTTCTACTCGCGCGAGTGCTGCTTCGAGGTCAAACATGGGGTGATCCGGCAATTGGCGACCGGTATACAACCCCGGAAGTAGTGGTGACTTCCGATGGCCCGTAAGTGCGCTGGGGAATATCGCTAACCCGCCAACGAGACCAGCTACAAGCTGACACGTCTTCGGACCTTCCCAGAGATCGCGTGGCATACGCGAACCCCTACACCTACCTCGACGAAACACCTTCGCTTGAAGGATATTCGGTCCTTCAAGTGAAAAGAAACGCACCAATTACAATTTTGTTTTTCTAACTTCCAACAGTCGAGTTGTGGATATTTACCTGGACCTCGAGCAGATTATTTCGTGTGTTTCACCTTTTCTCTTTTAAAGACAACTTTAGCCTATTCATATGCTACAACAAATTTTAGGTTAGGCTACATTCAACAAAATTAACAGAGGAACTCACTAGGTTTACAATAGATTTTAGGCACGCGTGGGCCAATAATAACGTTCTCAACCACTATTGTTTTTTTTTTCTAAATTTCCCGATTACTGAAATACAAGATGTTATTTTTTTTACATATTTTTCCTATGGTCGATATCTTATTAAAACTCACTATAACTATTTCGATTGGCTAAAATTCTCACAAACGATAACTTTCCACTAAGTTTTTTTCGGGACTACGTCCAACCACTATGCCGATCGAAACGAGAAAGAATGGTAATTGAAGATGGCCTTCTTTGCAAAGTGTTACGCAACGCGGGGATCCCTACTAATACCATTGCTTCAAAAATTTGCATATCATCATTTCATTTTTAAAACATTGGCTATACTATCTGCGATCCAAACGGAGTGGTATGTCTTGCTTCACGATCAGATTCAAATGAGTGTTTCCAATTCTCGCCACTCACAGCGCTACGATGCATAAAAAGTGCTCGAATGCAAACATCACCAAATGTATACAATAGTAAAATCCAACCAATTACCGCCCACCCGTGGCGCTGTTGTCGTAGCGGTGATAAAAATGTAAACATCTGTCAAACGTGGCTCATATCAGAATTTTCACTTTTTAAATTGAAAATTTGTCTTGTCTTGGTACGTTTTTGATGGTCAAAAAGCTTGTAGAATTGTAGGAAAAGTGTCCTTCTTCAAAGTGACAAATGACTACAATGATATCACTGCTTGCAATCAGGAAAATAGTTGAATTTTTAGACTACGTAAACACAAGCTCCACCGCTTAACATTCTCATTGTTGTTGCAGGATCGTTGCATTATCCCGGGATGCAACGAGAACAAATTTCAACTTTTTAGAGTTCCAAATTCGGGGAGCAACAAATTCGTGCAGTGGAGAAAGGTTGCCACTGTTTACGGATCAGAAGAATATAAGTTCCAAAGTTTGTTGTCCCCCCGACAACATTAAATTTGAGATTAACTTCATGTGGCCGCTCCCCGGGATAGGAACTTTGCATAACAAATCCATTCCCCTCAATTCTTGCTTTGCTGCTGATCTACTGGTGTAGCCCAGGCACACAATATGCTAGGTCTCTAAATCCGCTAGCACGGAGTCCCCAACATCATCCAGCAAACTGATTCGGACGTCGATTTCAATCATACAAAACATAACCTAAATAATATCGGTGCACCAAAAAACACATTTTCATTATCTTTCAATGACATTGTAATGAAAATTAATGTAACATTACATTATTCGATAAATTTCCTACATGTATAATCCAAAGTAATGCTCGTATCTCACTATTTTGAACTCTTTTTTCAATAATTTATCACTCAAACTCTGGAATTTAAACCGGCTGCCATAAATTTATCACCATCGACTAGTACTATTTCCCGCCACTAGTGACGCATAAATTTCACTTGGATTCTACTATTGCCTTCCCTTTGACTTTCTTGTAGCCTGAGAAGTGGAAGATACACACTTCAAGAGAATATATTTACAGATGTTACTATTTTTTTTACGACCATTTTGTAACAATGTTACAGTGTGCTTTGGTCATACACAGCAAAAAAAAATGTAATATCGATCAACGTAATTCAAGCTGATGTATGAAATAATGATGTAATAGCAAAAAGCAGATACAATATTACATCAATGGATGTAATTTTGTTCGCAAAATCGATGTACATCGTACAATGTGATATTACACAACCGATGGATTGACCTGGTTGCAGCAGTTTCGATGTAATATTCAACAACTTTTTTTGCTGTGTAAATTTCATTGTTTTTGCTATGATCATTCATGTCGGTTTGTCGGTAATCTAGTGCCAATCACCGACGGACATCGATTGCCATCCATAGACAGCAATCGAATGTGCAGGAAGGCAGCTTCCACACCTGCGTAAGATATCGCACCCATTCGCAACAGACACATCAGCCGCACTGATAGCTCGACTTTGTTTACCTTTGTTACTTTCGACGTAATGAAAATTTTCTATTGATGTTTTCGTTCAGTGTACATGTTCAATTTGCGCACGACAACCTACAGAAGCGAACCAACTATGGTTGCAATCAAACACACACGAAGATTAGCATCAAAACAAAACTGGATAAAAAGTAAAGCGACTTCTCCTTTCACAATAACACTATCCTGGCAATATTCCCGAGTTCCTCAGTCAAAATGGATCGGAATTTGGATATTATTTCAACGATTCATGATTTCCGAAACTGCTGCCGATTATGTTTCGAACGAGGTCCTCAACTGGAAAATCTTTTCGCTTCGTCCCATGAGCCAAATCTAACAGGGAAGATAGCTGACTGTCTTGGCGTTTTGGTAAGTAGGCATACCCTTTCATTTGCTTACAGAATACAATGTACGGTCTTTCTAGATTTCACAGGAAGATTTTCCCGCAACATCGATCTGTGTCCGATGCCTAACGTTGGTGGAACAGTTCTACGATTTCAAACAACTCTGCAAGATGCATGACCACACATTCCAAACCACCATCCGGACGGATAGTTCCGAAGAGTTATTGCAACAGCACCCAACTCAAGTCCACATCAAGTCAGAAGTGCTGGACGATTTTGATCAATCGATTCAGTTAGCACCCCTGGATATTACCAGTGATATCATAAAGCAAGAAATTACTCCGACGGACGATACTGCAGGAACAGATTTAGAATCTTGTGATGCATTAGGGCCAATTGATGACGAACGGGATAAGACACGGACACCAGGTCAATCGTCCCAAAATATATCAGTCCGGTTGATGTACAACGGCTATCTAATGAAATGCAATGGAATAAAACTAAATGGCGTTATGCAATGGGTCTGCCGCAACAGCGCCTGCCGATTGAGCTTTAGCAGCACGGTTGATTGGCAAATTACGCTACATATGAATAAGGTTCATAATCATTATCCGTATGTTGAGAGGAAAGGGATGATTCGATGCGTTAATAGTGGATTCGAGGAACGATATGCTGTGAGTACGATTACCGGAAAAACTGTGCTAATCTGGGATGGTCACGAGTGGATCATAAGCGACAAGAACAAGGCTGGCAAACGGAGAGCTAGCTGCAAGGAACACAGAGCCAAATGTAGGAAATATTTGACGATTACGGAGGATTTCTACAGTTTGGAACATTTTGGCGAGCATAACCACCCGAACCATTTTATTATATTTAGGGAGGAGGAAAATCCCGCGGAGAATGATCTGAATCCTTGGGATCTTTTTAGTCAAATTAATCCCTGCAGATTGCCCATCGGAAACGATTGGGATTCGAACCGACGGGTAAAGCTGTTCCATAATAGGTATCAATACAGACTATTGGACTGCTCATGGAGCGGAATCAGTCGATGGCTTTGTGATACGGTGAACTGCCCGATTATGGCCACCATGAATGGATTGGGGATGGTCCAGTTGGCGGAGCACAATCACGAACCGCTAGCGTCCGGCCTGTTCAATGGACTGTACTACTGTGTCGTCAAGGCAAATATGAAATGCCTAAAACTGTTCTTCAACGGTCATTGCTATGGCAGTAGAGATTCGGATCACTGGGTTTGCACTATGACTGCCTGCTACGCAAAATTGTTCGTGGGAAGCAACTATGAAACATTTGCCGAGAAAGGAATTCACACCCACCAAGCATACAGTGCTGTTGTCAAGCCGATGGATAAAGAGGCTGTAAGTTATCCGGTGGATATGTTAATCGGGTGCGGGTATAATTTAACTAGCTTTCAATTTTATTCTTTTTTAGATTCACTTAACCCCACAGAGTCCATTCCTTCCACCATCGATTACGATTGACGATTTGCAAGAAAGTGCATCATCTTCATCAACCGCTGTCAGCATTGACTCGACCCCTTCCAAGGCAGTCCCAGAAAAGTCACCCAAAAAAATAACAAAGAAACCTACACAGGCCGACGAACCAGAATCTACTGCCGGAAGCATTAGAATGTTTTTCGATGGCTTCCGGTACACGTTGTGGGAGATTTTCCCAGATGGCACCACCTACTGGCGCTGCTGGGGAATGCGTTGCAACAAGTCCCTTCACATGGCCCCGACAGGATCGATTTATTTCAAAAATGAAAGCTTGGAACACCAGCATGGACCTCAGGTGTCCAATGTAGATCAGATAACCCATGAAAACGGTCAAACGGAAAGATATGCCATTTTCAAGGACACTACATTTAACACTATCATAGTCTATCGCAATGCACTGTGGAATTTGGTCCTTGGAGAGGCAAGCTACATCGCAACCTGCAGAGAGCTTCGATGTGAGGCCAAAATTAGGATCACAGACAATTTTTCACACTTTGAGCATATCGGAGAATGTGGCAATCACGGTGACAAATTGTTACTGATTAGAACCGCTGCGGAACTCGTTGAAGGTGATCTCAATATCTGGGAACTTTTTAAGCAAAAGTATCCCTTGCGATTGGTGGATGGCACCATCCACAACGGAGGACGACACTCGCAAATGTTCATCGGAGGCTACCGGTACACCATGCAAGCATTGAACTGGAGTGGGAGCTCGCTTTGGCGATGCGCTCTGCAGAAGTGTCCAGCCAAGAGTCGAATCATTGAATCCATTGGCACGTTCCCGACGCCATCCCATAACCATAATCACGAGAAGCAAGAACTACTGCAAGGTAAAATATGGAGCCAAGCACGTCAGCAGGAAGAGCGCTACTTTGTGATCATAACGCTGAAGAAGACCACGGCTACCATGTACTACAATACCTACTGCTATTCTCTGAAGGACAAACAGCGCAACGCTTGGACCTGCTTTCATACGCAGTGCAATGCCTCGCTGCGAATCGAAGGCGATTTCGAATGGGTTGTAGACGAGATGGTGCACACCCACGCAGGAACGCTTACCTTCGCCAGGGATGACGAGTCGGCCGAGTCTCAGGTAAGATAATCCATAGCTTGACCATCTGGTATAGGAAAAAATCTCACGTATTCCCTTTAGATGGTCTCATTTCTATTCTGTTAATTGATTACACCCTATCGTCTATCAATACAACAATTTTTAGTGAAAGATGGGACGGTTTTGCACTACACACCACTGACAGTTGCATCAAACCCTTCGCATATCATTCATAAAACGATAAAACAGTTTCGATGCATCCTTTTTACAGGAATGCTATGCTCCTGCACCGGGGTCTTCCAGGAAACGTTCGCGAGAGGATGCCGATGATTCCCTTGCCGACGTGAAACCTTTGAAACTACCCTGCCTAACCGCTGCCTCATCATCTACATCCAATCTCAGTCCTAAACTGGAAGCCATTCTCAATACGCTGGTAAAAGTGGTTCCAAAAAGCGAGCAAAATTCTCAGCAGCAAAACACCTACCACTACCACGGAGGCTACACCTACAACCGTTTAACAGTACAAGCCGACGGGAACACCAAGCTGGAATGCAACAAACTCCGGTGTCCTGGACGAATCATCCTTGCGCCCGATCGAACCGTACTCTCCCAAGACAATCACACCCATTCCAAGACATTCGACACCATCGGTGGTATCAAGGACGCGCAAGGTCAGTATTACCGGTATATTCTGGTCAGCGGAACGCAAAAGCGAACCGTAACCTACTTCGTTTGCGATGGATTCCGATATCACGTTCAAATGAAAGCACCCGATGTGGACGCCGAAGTGATCTGGCAATGTGTCAAATGCGACGTCAAGGTTACTGTAACCGATTCCTACTCCTACATTGCCCTGAGTTCACCACACAATCATGAACCATGTGATATCATTATTTCGAGTGACGAAAATACCGAATCGAATCTCGAAGCCAACAATACCTTCGAACTGGACGAGGTCATCTGGGGACAGCACCGGTACAACAACCCCATCTACATTCGCCGTATGAAGCAAACTAAATGGAAATGCTACCGTCAGAAAGAATGCAAAGCATATGTCTATCGCAATCAGGATGGGTGTTTTAAACAAATGGAGCAACATAATCACGAAGGCCCGATCGAGCTCTGCGGAGAGGCTGGATTCGATCGGACACTGAAAATGAAGGATCGATTTGCCATCATGAAACATTACGGCAAATCCAAGTTTCGACATATGGTGTTCCAGAATCAAGTTTACGTCGAAGGCAATTCCTATTGTTGGAACTGTGTAAGATATTCCTGCAACGCAAAACTAAGTGTCGACGCAAGTTGTCATCTCTTTCAACTTGTAGGAGAACATTCTCATCAACCGATAATGATGGTTATCAAATTCCAAGACGAAGTTCAAAGTCGTTTGTGAATTAAATCGATGTGATTTACCACTAAGCAAGTTAAAATACATTTTCCTACATAAAGAAAATCCCAAATCAATTTATTCGAATACTTACAACTCACATATGTGGAGGAACAGGAATCATTCCCATCGGGGGCGGTGGAACCGGGTTGAACATTGGTCGTCCCGGATGTGGAACGCGCATGTTTGGCGGAGGCGGCGGAATAATCTTCGGTTCCAACTTGAACGAAAATTGCAGGAAGAACTGCTTCGTATCCTTGTTCCAATGGGTCCAAAATTTACCTTCAGTTTTCTCCACCTCCCGGGAGGGAACCTTGAAAGCAATTGTTTCATATGGTTCCGCCGCAAACAGCAGATACTGCCACTTACGGTCTGGAGGTTCAATTTTCTGTTCGTATGCCGACATGAAACGGTGGCGCGGAATGATGCCGTCGGTTATTTCCGGATAATCAATCTGGAACAGTAACGACTGCTGACCATTGTCCGAGTCACGTTGCTTCGTCACCCGGTAACCGGGACGACCAATCTTGACAAATTTTTTCGGCTCGATCCGGGGTTTCTCCGGTTGCATACTGGAGGGCGCTTCCTTCGCTTCTTTGGCTGCACGACGAGCGAGATTTCCTTGATGCTTCTTACCCTGAGTGTGGGCCAAATAGCTTCCTTCATTGTTATGCAGCGTCAGACAGAGCTTACATTCGTACGAACCAAGATGATTTTTCATGAAGTAGGGATCCTTGTTCAGATCGATGGTCTCCAAAGCCAGTTGTCGGAGACGTTCTCGTCGGTCGCGGTTGCTTTCCGACCAGGAGGCAGGGCCACCACCGCCAGTTTTGCCCCCGGCACGATTCTGGAAGTCCATTATCTGGCGGTCGTCTGCAAAAAAAAACAATTTTAAGCTATCGCTTCATTCGTAGCACGTTAAATGCAAAGCCCAAACAAAAATGATTAGTTAGTTATTCGATTACCTTACGAAATAAGCCGTAATTAAGCTCAGTTGTGCGAAAATAAAACAATTTTTCAAAGATATTCAACGCGACACAACATCGACCGACGCGGAAAATAAAAATGGACTGTCAAAAAAGGGGTGATTGTGATACCAAACGATCTCAAAATCAAAACTGCTCGAATCCGTACATGTACACTCAAAATTATTAATACACTGATAAATTGAACTATTCCCATTTTGCTTGAAATTTATTCAAATTGACATTAAACTCAGTTTAACCCGGAAAAAAAATAACAATACAATTACCATAAAGTAAAATACAACTACAAGAGATTTAAGCATATCTAGAGTAACATTTGAGATGGGCCTTGTGGTAGATAAGGTTGATGACTGGACTCGAACAACGAACGTTGCGATTATCAGATCTGTGCTTTCTCCACTGCTCATTGATCCTCGGTCTGGTCACGACAGGCCTATGTCCAAAACGTAAACAAACCAGAAAATGAATTTTAAATTTTTACGCCACTATTCAATTCATATTTAAGAAAATTGAAGTATTGTGTATACAACAACAATAGTAACTGTATCTAAGTATACAACATCCAAAATATGCGAAAAGCTTTCAAAAATATATAAAAATCGATAACAATTTAATTTCACAAATTAATAAGCCTTTTTGTGAATCTTCCAATGGATAGGCCCTTTTTGTTAAGCCGCTGTGCTTGTCATCATAAATGGTACGTCCTTTGCTAAGCCTTTTTGCAACGTCAAATAAATTCAAAACAAATCATCGGCCCTGCCTCAAGCAGTAGGGCCTAGCTTTGGTTTGAAAATTTTCAATTATAGGCCCTTCCTCGGGCCCTTCTACGTCACTAGGCTTATCAATGAAATGAAATAAATGCACGGTTGGCCGTTTTAGCGTGCGGGCCTATAAATTAATAGAAAAATTTCGTTGATCGGCCGTTTTGAAAATCGAGTTATTTTTAATGATTTTTCTCGATTATGTGGAACTTTCCTACACGATTAGTAAACTGAGAGCAGTTCCGCAGTTGATAATACTATATTGTAGGGTTGTTTCAAATACATAACACCACTAAATTTCTGCAGACTACATATGATATTCTTTTTAAAATTGAAAGTTGTGTATTGGAGTTAAAACTACTACACTCAAAAAATTTATCACATATCCAATGGATGAAATCCATGTGAATTTCACATAGCTTTCCTGTGATCACATAGCTGCAAATCCCACCACAAAATCACATGAATATTATGAGGACGATGAAATTTATATGAAAAATCATATAAAATTAATTTGAACGCATAAATGTTATGTGAAATTCAGATGAATTCCATTAATTTTGGTTATGGATGAAAATCATGTGCGTTTGCAATGGAAGCTACATGAAAACTATTTTCGGTGTATGCTTCATAGTGCTCTCGACAATAATTCCAGGTTAATAGTTATGGTTTAACCATCAGTTGCGTTTAAAACCAGCACGTTTTTAAAGTAAACTTAACTGTGGAGTATGGTATATTTTAAAACAAGGGTTGTTTTTCTTGGTATAGAAAAATGAAGGTTTTTGATTTCGTTTTTATCATTAAATTCACGATTCATAATTTATCCTTTTTTTTTATTGAATTTGAAACTTATTTATTCAACTAAGCTTATATAATATGACATTTAATTAATTACATAAAAAATTTCTTAAGTCTAATGTAACTGTTTCCCTGAACATTGTAAATATGAATTGGAGGTCCATCAAATAGGTCTACATGGAGTATATGAAATAGTGACGTGCAGCTGTTCACTTTAAAAGATGTAAAGTGAGTTGAATATTCTTGGATCTGCCATTGTTGACATGCAACATTTAAAGCATTGTTTGAGATTAGTAAATCTTTGATTTGATGTAGTTCTATGGCATTCATATTTATGGTTGATTTTGTTAAAAATTGACCAACTCTATACTCTGTGCCTCTGTAGGTTACAGTGCATGAAGCTTTAAAGCCTGAAGTTAGTAGCTTACTTGTTAAATTTAACGATGAAAAATAAGGTAAATCTATAAGCCTCAAGCTAACAGTATTTTCGTAAACTAAAGGGTCCTTGAAATGATTCAAATTTTGTATATTATGCATAAAAATTAAGTTAGTTTTCGTGCAGAATGTAAAGCATATGTTACGCCTAGATGTTATGTTTCTGCAATATTTCTTAAAAACTTGATGGAATGCTTCAAAACGGAAACGCCATGTGTATCGCGGAGGGCCTATTTTTTTAATTGTCTGAGGATAGTGAAGCAGTATGTGGTACTTTGGTTTAAGGTGTTCATCAAATATTTCTTTGTACAGCGTGTGGTGACAAATTATTTGTTCTTCTAAAGTACAGAGAAGTTCATCGTTAAATCTAGGAAGCAAAATCATGTTCACTAACTCAACCAACGATAAAACAAAATTCCATACTTTATCATTTTCTGGTATTAATTCACCAAAAATTAAAGGAAAATAATGCACAAAGAACATCATTTCTCTTGCTGTCATTTTAAAATTAGTTAGTTAGTTAGTTTTGAAACGATGTAGAGGGTACACATGCTGTACACGTGTATTTGAAGACGGTAGGTGTGCCATGGTAAATCATCAAATGATCGAAGAAAGTTGGAATCGTCCCGAATGGAATTTTACACAAAAAACAGTTCATGCTGTTGTTTCGCGGTTCTCCAAAAATGCGAAAAGTTGTAGAAGTTGGCTGTTCGTTACTTTCCGCGTATAGTTGATCTTGTAGAAGTATTTTGCAATGAAGCACCAAAGTAACTCGCAGCTTTCAGGGAAGTTGTAATTCAAAGCGAACTTTAGCTTCACTACTAGATCCACGCAGCGCAAGAATGATGGTAGCTTAAACTGGAGCTTCGCGGTTACTACATAGAACCCTATCAGCTTTTCGATCTCTCCAACCAAGAAGATGCGAGGTGAGAATTGAAAATCATTCGCTTTGAGTTCCTCACGCAAATTGTCTACTGATTCCAAAAATTCTTCTTCTGTTTTGCATGCAAAACACATATCGGTTTGCGCTTGAAGAATCGTTGGCAGCTTTCGTGACGATGTACGAAATGGCTAAATGACACCATGGAAAATGGTACAGCAAATGAAATCTCGGGTATCTGAAATGTACAAACCAAAGTGAGAAAGTATGCTTTAAAAATAAGTTATTCATTGTATTCTCGATTGTACTACCTTGAGCAACAGATGTTTCTTGAAGATGAGACAGCAGTTGTCGGGAATAATCGTCCTTTAATCCGTTTAGATTTACATAGGCTAGGAACCGTTGAATGAATCCTTCCCAAGCGTCAAAAATATTGGTAGGATTATTCAGTTTTCCGTAGATAACATCAAAGTCTGCGTCGATCTGAAAACGATTAAAGATTAAATCTTGTTTTTTTTATTACATTCAATAAAATACAACCAGCAAGTATCCATTTTCATCCATTAGTCTTGGCCACTCCTTTAGTACATTTGTCTTGTCTCCGTCTGTATCCTGCACAATGGTTCGTATGCGTAACAAAAATGATTCTTCCCAAAACTTTGAGACTCTCTCAGCCGGTTGTTGATTATTTCGGAGCCAATTTTTGAAAGAATTCTGTTTTTCTGCGGGTAGACTATTTAAAAATAAATGAAGTTAAGTAAATAAGATCAGAAATTACCTTCACCAGATAGAAGTAGCGCCTTCGCGCCTTGCTAATCTTCCAATAATCGTTGTCTGTATTTCGATGTTGTTGCTTTTCCAACAAAGATTTTTTGTTCCGGTTATGAAAGTGGTCATATATGAGTCCAGTGGGATGTTTTTTTCCAATCGTACAGTCTCGAGGATTATAGTAGACTTCCTGTAATAGAGATAATTGAATGAAATGGTAAGGTTATTAACATTAGACTGAATTAAGCTTCAGCTACAGCCAGTTCTGGAGGAAACCGCTCTGCGATGCACTGCGCAAATTTGGCCATATCAGTAAGTGTAAAGTAGCGTTCATTTGCAATGTAGTAGTCTACTATGATGTGGGTCAGATATTTTCTGTGCTGCGAGTCCAATCGACGATGCTTGTCGTGGTAATGCCGGACAATCTTTCCTTTTTCGTTCCTCTCAAGTATGTCCTCTAAAAGGTTTTTCGTTACCGATGTAGATAATAGAGGGTGTCTTGACGGGCCAGGAAGGCAGGCCCTCTCCAGGGTAACGTCCTTTTGGTACAATGTACTTTCATGCCAATTTTGTAACTTCTTTCTGAGCGCATACTTATGGCCCGTCCACTTAACAACAGAAAAAATCTCTTGCAACGCCACTTCATCGATATCCTTTAGATATTCGACTGTTACGCCGTGTCCTATAGAAAAAAAATTACAACCATCATGCTGTTCTGTAGACAGCTTCAACCCATCTTTATTAGGGAATTTAAAAGTTGGAAGTATCAAAGTTCTTCATACAAAACATAATTAGATCATTTCCAAATATAGATAATAAAATTTCATGAAGATTGGTTTTGTTTCAACTCACGAACTTCCAACTAGAAAACACCCGGACTAGAAAACTTTCCATGAGCGTAGTTTAAAATATGCAAACGGGAACTCACCGATTAAGATTGAATACACGGATGCATCCAATCCCCACTTATTCACAATAAGTGTACGAAGTTCTGGAATTTCATCATGTTCTGAATGTAGAAAGCATAATTTAGAAACATTAAGCAAAGGTAAACAACATTCATAATATGAGAACCACCTTCAACTAGTGCTGGATCTGCTAGAATCTCATCGATTATAATTTCCACTTTTTCTTCACCGTTAGCGTCCATAATTAAAACACGATTTAAAACTAGATAAAAAAAACACAAACCGTATCGAGCAACTTGCCAAACAGAAATGACTATTCAATATGGCATTGTCATGAGCCTCGTTTGTCGGATCATGAGCAAGGGACAATTTTGGCGGTACAAATTATCGCTATTGTGTGTTTGTTTTTACTATGTGTATGGTGAACCTGACAACAATGCGTTGAGCAAGAATACATGTCATAGTAAATTTCACTACATAAATGAGTTCAATTTGAATACAAAGAAACTGCAAAAATGACTATGACAAACTGCATTGGTGAATAGTACTTTTTTCAACATTTACTGTATTTTCAACAATATATTTCTTTATATTGACTGATTCTGTTAATGGTATTTCTAAAAATAATTTGCTATTTGTTGTTACTACAACATTTGTTTCAGTGTAGCTTTCATTGGAAACGCACATGATTTTCATCCATAATCAACATTAATGGAGTTCATCTGAATTTCACATAGCATTTATGCGATCACATTAATTTAATATGATTTTTCATATGAATGTCATCGGCCTCATATTATTCATGTGATTTTGTGTTGGGATTTGCAGCTATGTGATTACAAGAAAGCTATGTGAAATTCACATGGTTTTCATCCATTAGATACACAGCAAAAAAAGTAATATCGATCAACGTAATTCAAGCTGATGTATGAAATAATGATGTAATAGCAAAAAACAGATACAATATTACATCAATGGATGTAATTTTGTTCGCAAAATCGATGTACATCGTACAATGTGATATTACACAACCGATGGATTGACCTGGTTGCAGCAGTTTCGATGTAATATTCAACAACTTTTTTTGCTTGAGTATTCCATTTTATGAAGTCAAAAGTCCCTAATTTTCTGACAGCTGCATACACAGTCTTTCTTGATGTTTAATCGTCTTTCTCTGCGTGCTAGGGATGAACGGATGGTTTGTTTTCCCACTAATCTGGCTCCCTCTTGCTCCACACGTCAAAAAGCCTTATAGTTTCAAAGTGTTTTTTTTTTACCCATTAACGGATTTTCGCCATATACCGTGCGTATACGGGCCTTTAAACTGCTCGATTCTTAACTGACTGATCCAATTTTTTCATATATATCGAAACCCTGGCAGCACTGACCAATGACAGCCAAGAAAAACGAAAAGAAAAAAGTTGCAAGTGTACGTAGTTTGTGTAAAAAAATGATGTTTTCCACCGAAAATACGTGAAATTGGTGGCTAAAACTACTGAAATATTAAAAATCAGGTAATTCTGCACAAAATGCAAGTGTTTGTGGTGCGGTGGAGGTGTTTTTCGGTGCACAAATCTAGCAAAACAGCAGCAGGTCGGATCGCCCCTATCGCGTAGAGCTGTAAAGTTGGAAGTTTTTCGTCTTCTGCTGCGTCTTTCTGGTCGGCATTCGTTCGCTCTGCTGTGGTGTTGGTGGTGTTCTGCCCCGCGAGCCCCGTTTCGAATGCTGTTTTTTTTTTTTAATTCACTACCAGTGGCGGAGATTGTTGGACGAAGAAGATGAGAGGTGAAGGAACGCGCCGGAGAAAATGGGAGCGGCGGAAGCGAAGAAGATTGCATTTTATTATTGCGCGTGAAGGCAAGCAAAAAGCGTACGAGAAAAACAGAAAAAATCCGTCTGCAGCGGAAGGAAAATTGAAGAAGCAGCGTCGGATGAATGAGAAGAAGGGCCCTCCGGTAGATTGGATTCAATTAGAGCTCATAAATCGGGTTTGTTTATATTTAGAACGTGAAAAAATTTAACTGCCCGAAAATCGGATGTGATTGGGGAGGGGATTTGTTTACATTTTGATTTACGCCGTCGCTCGTAAGATCAGAGGATAATGACGTCATTGATCTCTACTAATCGATCAACTTGGGACTGCTTGAAGGATTGATTGTTGTTCATCTATTTTAGCTCAGCGCACCATGGCTAGTCGGAATGCGGTCGAGATGGAGAAGCAATTTCTGGCCGACCTTGAAAAAGCCAAAGCACTGAGTATGGAAACGTTGGAGCTGGAAAAGATTCGCAAGCAGCGTTATTCACAGCCAGACTCGTTGAACAAGTCTGATTCACGAACACTTGCGGAATATAAGAATTATCTTGAGAGGAAAGCTAAACTTCATCAGGGATTACCGCCAGGAGCGAATAATGTCCCAAAAAATGTCAGCACTGTTAACTTCTCAGCCGAAGCTCGATTCACTAGTGAAGCTCGTAATCCTGTGCGAGATAGTCAACTGCCCAAAGGAATAGATGAGGCAGATTTAATTTCGTTTAATGCTCTTCCTCCGCCTCCGAATCCTCAAGATGAGGCCCATAATAATCTTAAAGAACTGGTTGATCAAATGCATCGGTAAGAGAATGTCTTGTTTGTAGTGTCAGGTTGTTTTCCCTAAAACGTTGTTACATTTTAGTTTGAACACTCAGAACCCTTACGATCATGGTTACAAAACGCAACGCAGTTTAAGCATGTCATCTGCCTCATCTTACGGATCATACTCACCAGCTTACCTCCAGCAGCAGGTCGTTCAGAACTACAATCAGGCTGCGATGCAGATAGTTCCATACCAAGAAGCAATGAAACCTAAACCACTGACTCCGGACGAGCTGAAACGCTTATACAATATGCCAACAATGTATGGAACTATGCCTGCTGGACCTCCGCAGTCCGGTTTCATTGCTCAACCTCAATTTCCACCGGCCAACTATCCTCAAGCTCAAACCTCCTTCCCACCTCAGGTTCATCCCAACTCTGCTCCCACTACTAACTTCATTCCACAATCGTCAGCAACAGTTGTTCCTCCGCCTATCGGTTTCATTCCTCAACCCGCGCTGTATTCCACCTCGACGGTTCCGGTGGCAAACCCCGAGTCCGCTCTGGTGCACGTACCGAAGCCCGTCAATCCAAAACTAACACTGAACAACCGCTCTGCCTCCCAACCGCAACAGTCGTTCCCTCCTGCTATTCCAGGCCCATCCAACTCGAATCCTTTTACTCGAAAATCCCTTGCCGCCAGTGCAACGAATAATGGTAATAGTAGTAGCAGCAATAATAACAACACCAATAGTGAAGTGGTTCTACGCCCGAAAAGCGATCCCACCAAGCTGGGAGATAATCTGATAGATCTAGGCTTCGAGGACAACTCGCGCGTATCGGTGCTGGAGGCCTTCGATCCGCTGTTGTGTGGCAATCGTAGCAGTTATGGCGACGGCAGTGAAGACGACAAAGGTAAAACTCATGCTAGGGCAGTGTATTAGCTTATTTTATTGCACTTTTTTCCGTTTGATTCTATTTGACGACTCACACAAACACACACAGATTTAGTATCTCTACTAGTTAGAATCATTAGTTTATAAGTTAGATGCAATGCCAAATTTTACGAACGGGAAGATACAGGCAAAACGATTATGTTCTTTTATCTAGTTGTGAGTGTATTTTTATTGATAAGCGATTCGAGGAAAAATGGGGGTTCAAACTGATTTTACGATAAGGAAATGTGAACACTGCAGTCGTCTGAAGCGTGAGTAGGTAGATGTTTGATGACTAATGTATTACATACTGCTAACACGAATGATGTTCATCAGATCAAATTGCGCTAGAGCTGCCAGATTAATCTAGAAAGTCCGTATTTTGCAATAGTTCGCCGGACATTTTTTTTAGAAACATCCGGGAGCTTCCTGTGTTGATAAGATACGGCAGATTTTTTTCAAACTAATTTCTGGAATTCGTCCAGATTTATCGAAAAAAATTTACTGAGAACCTACGGTCTAGGGGAATTTACGTATTCTCGGCAATCTTAGCAGCGACCTTCTTTCTATAGCCTTTTTCTCTATGGAACGCACACATATGCAGTATTGGTTTGTTTACAATCTTTTGCTGCCAGCTGCTCTAACAATTTTAGTCGAAAGAATTGTCAAAAACTGTTTTGAAACGCTTTTACAAAGCTCCAATCTTCTCTAGTGAGAGCGAGTATTGTCCGCAACCAGTTTTTCTTCGGCAACCTTTCCATTTGAACTGCATGTAAATCTGCTGTTCTATTATCGGCAACTCGAAGCTAGATTGCTTTTTTCTAAGTGGTAAAAATATAGTCAAATTGAAGCTGAAAGCATAAAGAATCGTTTGCATGCATTCAGCGAAGTGTTTTCGTAAGAAAATCCAGTGAAAATAGTGTTTCAATTTGTGTTGCCGAAAATAGTCTGTCATGCCGAAGCCGTCATTTCCCCTATATGTTTTTTTTTTCAAATATACATGGACAATTGTCAACGCAGGGGAAAGGGGATAAGGGGTTGCCTAGAATCCAAAAAAAAAAAACAGGATGCAGTTTATGGACAGCTCCTCAAGGGCGACAAGCCAAAGGGGCGAATTCAAAATTTTCAGTAACTTTTCCACCTTAATTCCATTGACGATAGTAGTAATTCCAATGGCATTCTGCAGATAACTCCTAGAGAGTTTTCGAAAGTATTCTTAAATAATTCCGGTGACAATTGCAAGGTAATTCTAACAAGAATTCGATGGAAGAACTTTCTTTTGAGAATTCCAATAGTATTATGATGAAAAGTACATGGTAGTTTTGAGTAGAAGTAACTATATTGGGATTGTAAGGAGAAGCCCAGGAATATTCCAAAAAAAATTCTGAGTAAAATTTCAAAAGAACTCTGAGTAGAATGACTACTAAATGACAATTCCATGGGATTTCCGACCACAATTGCAAGAAAATTCTGACAAGAACCTCAACGAACGCCAGTAATTTCCAGAATCTGAAAACAGTTCCAAAGAAACTCTAAGAAAACATCAATGAGTGGAAAGCATACCAATAAGAGATTATTTTGGAATGATGAGATTTCCTAAGAATTCGTAGTAATAGTAGTTGTGGATGGAATTCCAAGGTAGATCTTACTCAGATCTTCTGTGGGAAATTCAGAGATATCCAGCAGAATTTTGAGCAAAACTTCAATGGTATCGTCGGGTCGGAGTCAGGTCGAAGACGGATGGGAAATTTAACAAGATTCGCCGGCCCCGATCCAACTCCACAGGCCTGGAGGGTTAGTTTTCAAAAGGACGCATCTGCTATTGTAAATAAATAATCAAACGTCAATTTGTCGAACCTTTTTTGCTCGCCCATGAAAACTAACACTTCGCCGGCGCTAACACCAGTATCAGGTAGGATAAAATTTATTTTCTCCAACATGATAGTGGTGTTAATTTTCGTTTGTGAGCTAAGAGTTTCGACAAATTGACAAATTGAATTCTAACAGAATTTTCAAAGGGCATTTTGGAAATAATTCTGGTTATAATTCCGAAGAAATTCTGATGAATAATCCGGATTATTCCGAAGTCCTCGGATAGTTTCAACGTAATTACGAAAAATATTTTAAGGGAATTTTAAGGAGAATATCGAAGAACTTTTGTAATTTTTTTAGGATAATTTCAAGGTAGATTTTGGAGAATTCTTTGGAAAGATTGAATAAATTCGTAAGAAATCTTCTAGCAAATGTTAATGAATTTGTGGGAGCATTCCATTTTGTGAAGTATTTCAAGCAAATTTTGGAAGGATACTAAAGGAATTCTGAGGAGAAGTTACATGGTCAATGAGAGTTGACCATAGGGTTCAAACATTTTATTCTGGATTATCCGGAACATCCATATATTGAGGCAAAGGAACGTTAGAATTCCACAAGAACCATAACGACATAAGAATTTCCTATGAAAATCATAAGTTTGGCGTATGAAACAGAATTCATAAGTTAAGCTATGACACTTAAAAAAGTAATATAAAATGTAGCAGACCGGAATGGAATCCTGAGCGTTCGGATTATTGACTCCCACGTCTATCAACGTTAAAGTTGAAGGTGTATAAGAACTAGAGGTAGGCAAAACAGCTCACCTGGCTGAGTGGATCAAACCTATCCAGCTCACTAAAGAGAGTCGGTTCTTTTGAACAGCTCACATTGAAATTATAGAAAGTATGACAAAAATTTAAAACTTCTCTCACTATTCTCGGCTTCAGCTCCAGATCATCAGCTCAGAACCGGATCCGGAGCTTAATTGTGAAGAATCGAGAGAGAGAGAAAAAAAAAAGATGATTCGGATCTGAGCTGATAAGCTGGAGAGCTGCATTTCGCTTTTTGGTTATTTGATTTTGTGCGGATCTTCCGCTCCCCCAGAGAATGATGAATGAGGTGAGGTGAGAGCACATATGCTGGAGGAATAATATCAGCAACAAGAGCCGGCTACATAAATAAATTGGATAATACCAGTAGAAAATTAACATCGTGTTGCACATGTACATATGTCCCTCTCCCAAACAGCCGCTTGGAAGTTTGCTTTTACCGTTGGTGCTGTCGATCAGTAGGCACATGTTGTATTGTATGCGCGTCTTGGTTTACGCGGTCCTTTTCTGAAAAGTTCCGCTATGAGTGATGGATTGAATGGTTTAGACTTGTGATATCAGTGAGCTGATAAGCTGCGGTTCCTAAAAAATGAACCGTGGGTCATCAGCTCACTTTAGAGAACAGCTCGGGAGCGGATCGCCCATCTCTAATAAGATCCACTCGTAGTACCTCATGTATTACGATAATCATTCATAAGTCGTGCTTATGAAACTGCATGTCTCATGTCTATTGGTTCATAAGTAATGTCTTACGGAATTCTTGAGATTTTTTTGCCTAAGTCTAAACATAGCTGCATGAAGAATGTGGTCCTATAGAGATCCGGAAACACTTTTAGTTGTACCTACTAGGGGAAATGGCTCTAATGTTTACCGATGGATTTCTGTTTTTAAATTTTTCGTAGAACAACGCGTCATCTGGACAATACAAATGGATATTTTTGGCTGCTTGTGGGACATTGTCAAAAATGCTTTCCTTCGAAATGTATGTATGAACCCAACATTATGAACACATAGGCTGACATTAGGGACATAAACCCTATACAACTGAAGTAATCTTTGTTGCAATAAAATAGTTCCTAAGGGTTCCAATAAATCAATATTAATTCATGGCAGTCAGAAGATTCAACGGAACATGATTGGTCGTTCGTCAAGGTCAAACGCCATTGAACTTAGAAATTGTGTAATAGATTGTTCGTTTTGTAGCTCTACTGAATCGAGCATCGATTTATGTTCCACCTTGGCACATTAAAACACCAACCTACGATAGCTTCACTGTTGTATTCGCAGTGCATATTTGCTCCTCTATACATAATATAGAAACCCTCGAATCGAATCGTTATCAAGTTGATCAATGCTTATCAGTATTTCGCTATCAACCGCTTCCCAATTCATTTCATACCGTTTGTCAGTAGTGCTTCTACATGGAAGCTCGGCGAGGAATTACGCTAGTTAGTTTTTATTCAGGTATCTTACCAAGTGCATACATTATCCTAGTGTTGTATTGTAAACTGTCAATGAATTGTGGTGAATCAATAAAAAGGCGATCAATTCGTACTAAAGTGCCTTGCAAAATCAAACAAAACGGGCGTTTATTTTTTTATTTATTTCCTTTGCTGAATGATCAGATTGCTTTTAGATAGAGAAACTACACTACTAGAATCAAAACAGGGGTTCCTTTTGATGCATTATTGTAGCCGTAAGTAGTTTGTAAGGACACACAATTTTTCAGTTGAATATATTTTCCAGTATGTGTGAACTTTGAGTGCATTTCGAGAAGATTTTATCTTTCGTTCGACCCAAACTGGAAAATATAGGAACAGTGTTTCTAATCGGTGTTCTGTTTTCTTTCTTTTCTAAATGCGCCCATCCGGCGGTTCAGATGATACTGCTTCGACCTACTACGAGGATTACGATCCGTTCGATTACATCTACAGCGGAGGAACGCAGTACTCGGATCCGGTGTATGAGGCGGTCAACCGTTCAGACAAGACTCCCCTATCGCCGAATAGCAGCGGTTCTGGCCCTCCACCAATCGGATGGAACGTCTCAAGTGCGTATGGTTTCGGAGAGCCCGAGTTCCTAGAAGGTGAGCCTCCACCGTTGCCACCGAGAAACAGCGATCTGTATCATTCCATGATCGATGGCGGTGGTGGGCCAGGTACAACGGCGAGCCTAGGACCCACCACCTCCACCGGTAGCGACTATGAGGTCATGCAGAAGCAAATTACGGAACGGCGATCGGCACCGACAAAGCTGTACGAGAATGTAGTAGTCCGCAAAAGCTACGATAAGGAACTGATTGCCTTCTACAACATGGTGAAGCAGTTGAGAGGTATGTTACTGGTTTGGAATTGAGAGGAGATCTCTATCTTGTGATCATGACTTTGAATTGCAGCACAATATCGCTACGATGATCCGGTGAGCAATGTGGGCCACGTGGTGCCTTCTGAATTCGATAATCACTACCCAGAGGGGACCAGTATCAAATTACTAGTGCATCCATCGCATGACTGTTTTACTTCGTATGATAGCCAAAACAAGGGCCAAATTGATGGTTATGGTCCTCCGATTCCATTCACCTGTGATAGTAAGTAGATGACGTTCAAATTCCCCGTAGATTTGGTAAATTAATGCGTGTGTCTTTCTGTCTACCAGTTACGACATCGGTAGAGCACGTCATTGCCCAAGTCTTCTGCGCTCTGGAGGGACAAATCATGAACAGCGGTGGTGATTACGTATTGAAAGCGATTGGCATTCAGGAGATTCTCCGTACCAGCTCCAGGCTGAATCAGCTGCAGTGCGTCCACAACAGTATCAAACTGGAGCACGATGTTCAGCTGGGTTTCGTCCCGAAAACACCTCGAATAATGCGAACTATAGCTCGGACTGCACAGGACGACCAACGGGATGCGGAAATCAAGCTGGAACATATCCTATCGAAGGAAGCAACGTCTGCCATTGGCTACGATGATCTGATGATACTGCTGGAAACGCTGGAGGCAGAAATCGATAAGCTGCAATTGTCGGCCGATGATCACAGTCCTCATACGATCATGAGTTGCTCTGGAGTGATCCAAGCTGTGAAGGCAATCTGCAACATGTTGGGACCGATCGATACGCTCGAAATTACCAAATCTATCGATGATCTGAAAACTTGCTGTGATAGCGGTCAGACGATCTATAGCTATAACGATACGCCGCCCGATTATAGCAATGGCAGCTTGAGTATCGTTTCGGAGAGTGGAGATTACGCTGAGGTCAAGCTGCGCCCAAGGACCATCAGTCAGCAGATTCAGTATCGATGTAACGAGGTGCGCAACGCTATTCAGAGCTTGTTGGAGATTTATTCGCATGCATTCCGGGTTAATTTTATGGTCAACGTACCGGACTGGAGCACGAATCCTATTCCGATCAGTAATATTTCACAGTCGGTTATGGTGAATATTATGTGTCTGCATCGACCTCCGATCCATTGGAAGCACGACGAGTACAATCTGGGCGTTCAGATCTATCACGGAGCTCGGTACATAAGTGAGGCAATGGTGACGTACTGTTCGAATGAAATTAGCGGAATCTATCCAAGGTTGAAGTTCAATTCTTGGATAATGTTCCGTAATCCGGTTTGCACGCTGCCCCGTGAATCGAGACTGATTTTTGTACTGTATGGCGTTACACGTGAACCGGTGGAAGGCGACAAACAGGAAGGATCGTCCAATGCCGACGGAAACGCTCAAGAAGGCAGAGTCACTAAGGTGGAACTGGGTTGGTCAGCGATCCAGTTCTTCGATTTCGATCGAAAAATGATTCAAGGTTCGTACCTGCTCTCCCTATGGCCACCGACTGCGGAAAAGTACTTTGGACCGGCACCAGCAAAAGGAACCCACCCTCTGGGATCTGCATATCCCATATTAGGAGTCGAAATTCCCAGCTACGGAGGCTCAGTTGTATTCCCGGAACCGATCAAAAACCTCCCTCCGTGGGCCAAACTGGATTTCAACAGCTTGGATCGAAATTTGCAACAGGAACTAATCGACACGGCAGAGCAGGGCTACTCAGCCGACAAATTGGAAAAGCGTGAAGTTCTTTGGGAAAAGCGACATTACCTTCACTCGTTACCTCATGCATTGCCCAAGATCCTTCACGCAGCTCATAGCTGGGACTACGCTTGCCTGGCAGATCTTCACGCCTTACTGAAATCCTGGCCGGCATTGACACCGGTTCAAGCATTGGAACTGCTCCTCCCACGCTATCCCGATCTGGAAGTTCGCCGACAAGCAGTCGAATGGATTTCCCATATGCCAAACGACGAATTTACCGACTATCTGCCGCAGCTCCTTCAAGCCTTGAAACATGACACATACGAAGCATCACCTCTATCTCACTTATTGCTACGCAAATCACTGGAATCACCACGTATAGCACATCACCTGTACTGGCTGCTGCTGCACAGTCTCCCGGGGGAAGCTCCACAAAACATGATCGAAATGGGTCAACTCGACGAAGCTCTAGTAATTCAGGCTCGCTATCATCGGAGGAATCAGCTGATGCTGCGAGCACTGATGGCCACTTGCGGAGAAAAGTTGACTGCCCGTTTCCTCTCGCAGAACATGATGTGCAAGAAGCTTGGGGAAGTGGCACAAAGTGTCAAGATATCCAAAGAATCCCAGCGGTTGCAGATTCTCAAGCAAGGCTTGGAATCGGTCAATCAGATGCTGATCGATAATCCAACTGTACTTCCATTGGGACCCGGGAATGAAGTGACGGGAGTTGTTGTCCGTAGCTGTAATTATTTCAATTCGAATACGCTTCCACTGAAGGTCAATTTCATGGGCTCGGACAAGGTCATCGTGCCGGCTATCTTCAAAAGCGGCGATGATCTCCAGCAGGACATGCTGACGATTCAGATGGTTCGCATTATGGATAAGCTGTGGCTGCGGGAGGGACTCGATTTGAAAATGGTCACGTTCGATTGCGTTCCGACGAGCTACAAGAAGGGCATAATCGAGATGGTGTCGGATTCGGAGACGCTCCGCAAGATTCAGGTCGAGTGGGGCCTGACGGGTTCGTTCAAGGACAAATCGATCGCCGAGTGGCTGGCCAAGCAGAACCCTAGTCAATTAGAGTACCAAAGGGCTGTGGAGAATTTTACGCGTTCCTGCGCCGGCTACTCGGTGGCCACGTACATTCTCGGTATTTGTGATAGGCATAATGACAACATTATGCTCAAAACTTCGGGACACTTGTTCCACATAGATTTCGGTAAATTCCTAGGAGATGCACAAATGTTTGGTAATTTTAAGAGGTAAGTGATCAATCTTGGAGAATTGATGGAAATTGGTGAACGCTTATGATCAAAATACTAGTGCAAATCCACGCCAAACAGCGACAAAAAAAACGAATTTGCCCTACAACTTTGCCTCAGACATCATTTCGATTAGAAAAAATTAGGCGCGAGTGCAAACTTTCATGGATAGTCGGAGAGAGTAAATTAAAATCGATTCGCCAGTTGACGTGGATATACTCACTACTCGAAAACTGTTTGTGCAAAAACATTTTTATTCATTAAAATTTGTTCGCCCCATTTCAGAGACCGCACTCCGTTCGTCCTGACCTCGGACATGGCGTACGTGATAAACGGAGGCGATCGGCCTTCAGCCAAGTTTCACAAGTTCGTCGATCTGTGCTGCACCGCATTCAACATCGTGCGCAAGCACGGTGACCTGATATTGCACATGTTTGCCCTGATGACGACTTCGGGCATTCCCGGTGTAACGGTCGAAGCAGTCAACTACGTCCGCAATGCACTGCTTCCGGGCCAGTCGAATCCGGAAGCGGCGGCATCGTTTGCGAAAATGATTCACATATCGCTCAAGTCGTGGTTTACGCAGTTCAACTTTTTCTTGCATAACATTGCGCAGATGAAGTTCTCGGCCGAGAGCGACGACGGCGAGCTGTTGAGCTTCGTCCCAAGGGTCTACACGTGAGTAGCAAATTGTTGCTAAATTGTTTGAGTTAGCCAAATGATTTTTTTTTCTCTAAATTCAGCATGGCCCAGGACGGACGACTGAAGTCGGTCACCGTGCACGGATTCCAGAAGCGCTACGATCTGGAAAAGTATTACACCTACATCTTGAAGGTGACCCGCCAAAATCAACCGGATCCCGCGTATCTGTTCCGTTCGTACAAGGAATTTAGTGAGTTTCATCAGAAATTATGCATCCACTTCCCGCTGGTGAAGTTACACAGGTGAGTGGCAATTGTTTCTTAATCGATAATTTGGAAGTTTTATTTCTAGAGTAGATAAGATTAACAACACAGACTATGCGGACGCTTCGGAGCCGTTTGATTGGCTGTTTCGGGCGCTGTGACCTTGAATACCTAGATACATGCCTCCGTCTGTTGTTGGTCGTCTGTTTCGCATTCCACGAAGAGTCTTGAGGGGTTCCTCGTCGAGGAGGGCCCGTGTGTTCAGGAAAGGTTTCGTCTGTGTCGTGGCCGTCTGCTGCAAACTGACAGGGACATTTCGCATGATTTCCGCATCAATTTTCTGCGTGGCCACGGTGAGGGTTATGCTGGAACGATGTCGCTCTACCATGTTCCAGTTGAGGTAATCATCGCCGTCGTCGTCGTCGTCATCATTGCCATCGTCGGGAGTAGGTTGTTTTCGAATTGTTCGTGGGGGAGGCGTTGGAATCTCGCTTGGAGTAACGGTGAGCTCTACAGAATGGGGTGGAGCAGGAGCGCGCTTCTTCAGAATGGATTTCAATGGGTCTGCAGCAGTGTCGGTATAGTTTATCTGCGAACTGGATTCAACACGAGGAATTGCTTCTGATTGGATAGGCCGAGGTTCTGTTGGTTTAAGGGTGATTTCCTCTTGAGGTGTGCTGGTTTGCTTGATTTGTTCATCCATAGAAATCAAAAACATTAATTCCGGAGGTCGTGGCTCGAATATGTCCTCAATCGAACTGCTAGAATCCCTAAAAGAATCACTCATTTTCGTTTCAGGTTTGGGTGATGCCTTCTTCTCCGCAAGCAGTCTTGGTTTTGCTTTGACCTTTTCGAAAATATCATCAAACGATTCTGTTTCATCACCATAGTCAGTCTTTACTGGTTTCGTTGTGTTGGCTAATACTGAAAATTTAAGTAGATGCATTCTGGTGTCTTAATCTGGTACGATAAATACTCACCATTAACCTTCTCCAAGATTTCATTAAAGAATTCAGGTTGTTGCTGCTTCCACTGCTCACTCGTTTCTCCTTCAACTTTCTCAATTGATGCGACAGCCTGTTCTTTCTCATTCTCAACCTTCACGTTGTAATTGATGCCTGCATTTCGAGGTGCCGGTGTGACGGGAACTTCACGCTTGTCAACCGTAACTTCGTTGAGCACCTCCACTGACCGCGTCACCTCGAGTGTCCGCGATGACGTCGGTTTCGTACTCACACCGTCCAATACCGAAACGTTTGGAGTAGATTTAGTCTTGGAAAGACCTTGCCGGCCCGGGGGCTTCGGTGGGGAGTAGTTGGGCTCGGGTGGTGTTTCGACGATTCGTCCGTTGTTGTGTTCTCTCGATGCTATCTTATCACCCACACCGTACTTCGCCGATGATGACGATGACTTATTGGCAATTGTCGACGAGGTTGTAGACGTGTTCGGTTTCCTGATAGCTGCTTATGGAATTGAAGGTAAAAAATGCGTGGATAAATTCTTGATTGATGGCAATCACGCAGGTGTCACAAAACTTACTCGTGGTCGCAATCGGTTGGCTCGGTGGCTCCCAGTGGGATGCTCTAGGAGACGGTTCAATGTAGTCCTCAAAGTTGACACTCTGTCTGTAGACTCCGATAACGGTGATACCTGAATTTTGCTGATCAAAGCCACAACAGCGAGACAAAAAATAATAATAGATAGAATTGGGTCACTCCTATTCGTCACAGATGTGACTCACCTCTTTCCTTCTAATACTACGCTCTGGCGCGGATGGGATTCCCTCAAAGGTGATTCGACGCCGGAACCATTTAAGCTTTAATCCCATCTTGTTAGTGTGATATGTTGTGACTGGAACACGCGGAAACTCTCTGCTGTCGGCACACAATGTTCAGTGTTTCGGCAGAGCGATTGAAGCCGACTGACGAGGAGAATGTCGACTTCTTTCACTTTTCAGAGACAGTGGAAGTGTGTTGTTTTGCACGCTGTGTAAAAGGCGCTATCTTATCATCGTTGGTTCGAGTCGCTGATACGCTGTGGTAGGTTCTATGACGTCATGGTATGAGTTATTTTCTAGGTGGAAAACGTGTGTGTGTGATGATGATGGTGGGTTCCGAGGGAGGTTTGAGTTTTCAATGGCAAAACTAATAAAAAGTATATCAGAGGTATTGGTGGAGCATACCGCAAATCAGCAATTAGATACTACAATAAACTCTAAACCGATGGCATTGATATTGGCGTATTGATGATTATAGGATGAGAGGCTGTTTAGTGGGCAGTGGGGCAATGGTAATCTAACGCTGGTAGATTCCATTTTCGTGGTGCGTTACTGATATAAGATCTACCACATTGAAATCTGGCCCTAAACTCTTCTTGTTGACGGTTTTGAGATTGAAAACAAGAAAAGGGCCAGGGTTCTGCTGAATGGTCAAATATCAGTATCATAGCATGCTTTCGTCGCTAATGTCATTTTCGTTTTTGCGGTGTAGCTACACCGCCGAACACCGAAAAAAATTAGGGTGTAGCTATCGGTTGCACCTTTGTTTACAAACAAATGATGATGAGCTGTCAATGACTCGCACTTTTTGCTGCTTACACTACACCGGTGTAGTGTAGCAAAAACGAAAACTACATAAGAATACCTATTTTAATTGGTGAGATGGAGCGTACTTGGAGAGGTCCCAGAGCTCATCAAATTATACGGAACTTTATAATTGAATGAGGCTTGTTATGAGAAGAACAAGGATGTATGATAACGAACAGGGTAGATGTACCAGTTATGGCTGTACGTTCCTATTATAATGTGTTTCAATTATGGCCTATGGAACGTATACCATAACTTGTACATCTACCCTATCTCATTGCTTTTCCATAGTAATGAGGTACTACGACAAGCACTAAACACGGACACGGACATATCACAAAAGATCAATGTATTGGTCGCAGTGATTATGACCCGGACGAAGTGAAAAATGCAGTGGGGTTGTTTGTCTCTTGGGTATCGATTGTTCCTAGAAAGACTGAAATTTAGCACGCGTATGATTTATCAATTGTCTAAACCATGTTAGCCGCAGCTTATACGGCGGGGGTGTTTTACGAAAGGCTGAAATCCCAAAAGGCTGAAAAGTATTAATAGACTGAAATTCTCATTTCAACCATCAACAATAGGATTCAAGAGTAATGTTGTTAACACTCAATAATACATATCTTAAATGCGGAGCATTTTTCTCGAGTTGATTTAAATAAAATGGCTGCAGGGAGCTATAATTTCTTCAACCCATGCACAAATTTCGAGAACAGTAAATCAAACTAGGAGGAGCTATATAGGAGTGACGGATGGCGCGTTATGGTTGCAATATATTTTTCTATTATCATTTTTTTACGATTGGTACGATCAACCGGGCAGGACAATAAACTTGAGTAGCTACGTAATAATTGAGCGTTTTCAATTCTGCAAATTATCACTTCGAACACGATGCCTCCGATGAAATGTTTAACGGCAAATTGGCAATGTTTGAAACATCATTTCTCAGCAATCTATCGATACATTTTGAAGCTATTGATACCGAATAAATCTTGAAAGTATGTAACTTCAAATGTTGCCAATTGATTTGAAATTCGTCAATAAATGACTGAGGTATGATTTTTCAAACATTGCAAAGTTGCCGTTACACATTAAAGTCTGTTCCAGTTCTTTTTAATTACTGTAGCGCCTCTAGTTGTCGTAGCAAGAAACTATTGACAGTGTTTTGATCCGGAAGGATTGTTTATTTAGTAGTGAAAATTTCGTAAGGATTCATATACATGTTCAAAATTAATTGAAGATGGAACGTGACAGACGTGAAAAAATTCTGCACACTCACGTGCAAAATCCAACGTTGTCAGGAGGAATGATTGCAAAGGCTCTCAAATTTCCAAAATCGACTGTGAATACCGTGCTTAAACGTTACCGGGGAACACTAATACTCCGTACAGACTATGGCTTATATCCAGTAATATAGCCTGTCTTGCAATGAGCACTCATACATCTAGTTTTCACTGGAAATCCTATGTATGAGTGCTCATTGCAAGGCAGCCTATATTACATGATATAAGCCATAGTCTGTACGGGATATAACGTTGGATCGTGCAAATCAAAACAAACGTAGAAGTGGAAAAGAATCCTGGGATCTCCGGTCGTGATTTGGCGAAAAGGTTCAGTGTGGCACACAGTACAGTTCGGCGAATCTGTATGCGAGAAGGTTTCCGGTCGTACCATGCCAACAAACATCCCAACAGGTCGCTGAAACAAAACCTAGTTGCCAAAAACCGTGCAAGGAAGCTGTACGAGCAAGTTCTGACCAAGTATAACGGATGTATTTTAATGGACGATGAAATGTACGTAAAAATGGACTTTGGACAAATCCCGGGCCAAAATGTTTACTTTGCTAAACGTAAGGGGGAAGCGGCGCCGGTTGTGTAGTGGTAACCGTGATAACCTCTCACCCCAGCAGGCCTGAGTTCAATCCCAGTCGGCGCCGCCGGGATTTTCTGAGGTACAAAATCTCTGATCATGCTTTCTTTCGGAAGGGAAGTAAGCCGTTGGTCCTCGGTTCATGAGTTGATGGGTCGATATCTAGGGTCCAGGTGTGGGAGCTGCCTCCCTGGCGTTGGTAGCATTGGTGCTCAGCACAGAAAACAAGATCGATGGAAAATATACCAAAGGAGAAAAAAACGTAAGGGGGATGCTCCGGATAAATTCAAATTTGTATTTGTAGATAAATTCGCTCGCTAGTTGATGATTTAGCAAGGTATCTGCAGTTGCGGGAAGAAAACAATGCTTTTCATCACTGGAGCGACTATGAATGGACAACTTTACAAGGAGGAGCGTCTCCAGAACATAATTTTGCCGTTCATTCAATCACACGAAGGTCTCGTAAAGTTCTGGCCTGACAAGCCAGCTGCCATTACAGCCGCGATGTTATAGAATGGTATAAGCAGAATAATGTCGATTTTATTGAGAAAAGTATCAATCCACCAAATTTTTCAGATTTTCGTCCCATTGAAAGAAAGAAAATTGAAGAAAGGTGGCAAAACAATCAAAACACCATCTGATTTGTAGAAGTGGTAAAAAAGGATGGTAGATGAGGTTGACAGTACTACTGTACAATACATGATGAGAGGTATTCCGCGAAATTCATATTCATATAGTTTAAGCATTATCGATATTATAATCAAAAGGTGAGTTGTAAAGTATAATTACCATGCATTGCGATAAGGGGAATAGGGTAGAGAACTACTTCGGCCTAATCGCCCATTTTGGGCCTATCGAGCAAAAAACTTCAAATAAATCCATAATTTCAGAGTTAACAAGTCAATTATGCGTTTGGTATGAACGGTACGGAACGCTGAGAAAGCGTGATATGAAGGTTTGCACCCATTATTCCCAAAAACAAAAGACGCGCCCCGACCGAATCAATTTTTATCTTCATCCGATAGGCCGAAGTGAATTCATTGGCGTTTCAATACGTTAGGCCGAGTTTAGAATCCGTATGCCGAGTTTGGCGTCAAGAAGCAGTGTTAGACTTTTGACAATATCTCAACGATTGGATTCTCTTTATCAAATCTTACGGTACATACGGAAAGGTAAATACATTTGGAAGTCATCAGTAATAATAACATTCCGTTTGGTGCTAAACTGCGCTAGATTAAGAAAGACTAAGTGCGGGTTGTGCTTAATAGGCCGGAAATGGGAGAGTCAACCCTACTCCCATTTTCCACACTCAGCCCCGAACTCATTCACTGAAATCGAAACTAACTCAGAGAGTGAGTCACTGTGGAGAAAATTTCTAAAAGCGCATGAGTAACCGACGCTTTTAGAAATTTCTCCATACGAATGAGTAAAAGTGACTCACTCTCTGAGTAAGGTTCAGTTTTAATGTAATATTGTCTCATTAGACCACATTCGTGAGTGACTACCCAAGTAACAATTTTGGTTTTATGAGGGTTCTGTAGACCATGATTTGGACTTGTAGAATGCTATAAAATCTCTATAAAGCTTGCAATGTTACTTGGGTACCGACCGAGTCGGACATGTCTGCTGTTGCTGAGGCGTACAGTTTTTGTGCTGGTTGGAGGCAAGTGTACTGCGGAAGCGGGTCTGGTGATACGGATTAGGAGGCGGTTTTGACGACTATACTGGGGTACAAATCAAAAAATATGTGTGGTGAAATAGTGTTTGGTTTTGAACGCTTGTAACTTTGTCATTTATTCATGAAATAAAAATCTAAATACGCCAATCGATAGGATATTACTTAACAAATCTGCTGAAATAAATACTTTTCCAATTTTTAATCAAAAAACTTTTGAAAATGCGCAAATGATAATTTTATCACTGTTTTCATGAACTAAACGTTTTCCCCAAACCCAGTCATCATAAACGAATACCACTTGGTTGCACATCATTCTGCTTGAACCTAAAAGATATAAAACAGCGCTGCTTTCCTGACTCTGTTCATACCGCTTCGGACGGCGCGGCACTACCCTAGTAGCACGCTTGTCACAAATCAATTGTAGAAACTTATATACGACTTATTTTAGTCATAAACAAGTTGTTGTAACTTATTGTGATGAAAGTGTGCTACTCGGGTAGGTCCTGCAGCAAGCGGGACCAAGTCAGCGGCTGAAGATGGATCACGGCGTGATCACCTGTCACATAAAGAGGAATGAGAATTTGATATGCAAAATACCCCTCTCCCCCTCCCCCGTCGATAACGTCAACTCAAAAAAGACATGGATCACTTTTTCCGGGAAATAAATTTTAAGCAAACTACTATTATAAGTAAAAACAAAAGCCTAAATTTCCAAAACAATTGCCTAAGACGAGACATACATCCGATGATATTATGTTGGTAAATTACCAACAACTGTCTGTAAAACATATCTGGTATCTCTATATATATGCAATTAGATTAACATCCAAAGACCATCCTTTTTTCCATATTCTGCACAAAAGAAACATTCTGCCCCGCCTCATTCATAATCATAAGTATAATAGTCACAAATGCATGAAAACATCAATTTTGCGTGGTTCTACGTCATACTGCGGTCGTGTCTAGGACACAACCCTTTAATTTTTTTTCGTTGGTGGAGCGTTCACGAAGATCCGATAGAGTGTGGTGAAGATCCGGTGAAGACAGAAGTATTAAATGCGAGGAGGAGTCCATTGTCAGTGGTGAAAATGATTCAACAAGAAGAATAAGAAGCAGGAGAAAGCTGCAAGTGTGTGCCTATGTTTGGCAAGATAGTTGCAGAAGGGTAATCGGCAGCATCAGACAGCCCAACGATGGACATACAGTGAGCAGGTGGATAAATAGAATAGTGTTAGGAAATTAATTGAGATCCAAACGGCGTCATTGGCCGTTAAAGCAGTTAATATTAGAAGAAGAAAAGAAAAATTATGCGTGGAGAAAAATCAGAAAATGCGGTAACCGCAATGCGCATGTGCGAGTAGCGTAGGGGCAGGTTCATCCTCTCTTAAGCTGGGTTTAGACGATTCAAGTCAATTGATAAACTCACTTGAATTCATTCCATTATTATATGACACATTATATGCTGGGTATAGGACGGTCCAACCAGGGCACCCGATTGAAGCGATTTTTATGGGGAGAGTGGAATTGCCAACTTCCTGTCGTTAACAGATCGTGAATTGAAGGCGGGCTCTTCTTCCCCACTCATTGGGACATCCTCTCGTGCGATGGCTTGTATATTTCCGGGTTGTAGGATTTTATCGCTGGAAGGAGATTACAGGTTCGCACTCCGTTTTTGGCCCTTTATACAATGGTAAATTGAATACAATCAGGTGTTGTGCTTGATCAAGTCGTACCAGGTGACAGTCCACTGTCTAATGGTTGTGCCTGCAACAATGAATGGTTTCCTTTACATACAATATTGTCCACACCACACATTTATGCATTAACCATTTTTTTTCGTCTTCTTCCAGCCTACCTTCAGGGATCCACGTGGGACGATCGAACGTCAAAACGGTAGCCGAACGTCGTCTTCCAGAGATCCGCCAGTTTCTGATCTCGCTGTTCAACTCGGCGGATGAAATTGCACATTCCGAACTAGTTTATACATTCTTTCATCCGTTGCTACGCGATCAGCAGGAAGCGGACATCCACGCGGCTAAAGTTAAGGGTAAAATGGTTTCTTTCCGTATTCTAACAACAAACTGAACCTCCTCCTAACACAGGTAATCGAGCCATTGCCGACGAGTACCAGCAGCTGCGCGGTGAGATTAAGTTCTCGCTGCAGTACCATCGCGATGCACTGATAGTTATGATACAGCATGCCCGATCCTTGCCAAGCACTGCGAACAACCCCGAACCGAACACCTACGTGAAGGTTTACTTGCGACCGGACCAATCAAAGGCGACCAAACGCAAAACCAAAGTAGTTCGAAAGAATTGCAACCCTAGCTTTATGGAGACTGTAAGTACCCAGTGCTGTTCATTGAATTGGAATTCAACGTGAGCCCGTTTTTCGCTTCCAGCTCGAGTACCGTCTCCCGTTGGACTTTATCCAGAAGAAAACGCTAGAGGTGACGGTTTGGTCGCACGACTCTCTGCAGGAGAATGCATTCTTGGGAGGTCACCGGTTGTTGCTAGCCGAACTGGATCTTCGGCACGAAATCAACGAATGGTTTCCGCTGGGTTATCTGCCAAGGACGTAGTCGATTTATTAGTTGCAATATCAAATAATTCAAGTGCATTTTGGATTGAGCTTTCTTAGCATTGGTTGATACGAGTAGTTATAGATACTCGAATTGTGGCGATTAGTGTACCAACAGGGTCGGAAGAATTAAGACAAAAAGTTTACACGTTTTCGGATTAAGAGGGGAAGCAAGCATTAACAGGTGAATAGGTTAATAAAAGTGTACTACTAATCAAATGTAAAACAAAACACAACCATCACCTTAGAGCTTGATAGTGTTTGGTTGTAATTTGGTAGATATCAAGTGTTTCGCTAATAATCAAAATCGTACCGTAAAGCAATCGCTTATCTATTTTCTATCAAGTTCTATTAAGTGTTTCCACAAGAACGAGCACATTTTTTTTTAGCAATCGTGATAACCGCATAGGAACACCTGCTCGTAAGCAAAACCAAAAGTAAAACATTCGATTATTATTATTATCACTATGTTACTGTTAGCGCCAGTATCAGCGGAATATATGTATGTATATGTTTGTGGTTGCTTGCTGCTGGTTTTATTTTATTTTATTTTTTCCCAACTGCAAACAGTCAGCAAACGCCGCGTGGGTTGTCACAGAGAATAGAGAGAGAGTGAGAGAGAGAAAATCATAATAGGCTTTAAAAGTGTTGTTTAGCAAACCCTTTCAGAGCATATTTTTCGTAGTATGTTATGCTTATTTGCAAATGTATTTATTTTATCCAAAAAATGGTCGAATCAGCACATGATGATGTATGTATGAGGGAAGGTAAGTTGCCTAAGAAATACATTGGCATTTCTGAATGTAGATTTTGTCGTTTATTTTTGTTCTAAAATATCCAAACATTCATCAATTCAATTCATCGTTCCAATAATCTTATTCGGTCATAGTTCTAGGCAAGGCTCCAAATGGTCATTTCGCATAAAACACTCACCCCTATTCTGTATTCCGTTCGAAACGGATTTCCCATGTAAAAAACCATTGTGTATAGGAAATCCGTTTTGAACCTACGTGAACCTACCAAATGTGGCGGAAAGAGCCAATAGCTAGCAGCTTTTTTATATTTATTTTTAATAGCCTGCATTATATTAGCATTCGAAACGCTACCTACTTTTGTCAAAATCCTAACAGTAGTACCATCAGTTTGTGGGGCCTAGCAGTAAAGCAACCGTATAATTTGCCAAAATTGATTTTCTAAGTAGTATTTAAGTCGGCTATAATGCTCCTGCTTCTGGCAGATTGGCGGGGGCCAGCTGTAATCCGATATCATCTAGGTAGACGACCAAGCAATTTTTGGGAAGTAGTAGTTCCTTCTTGATGACACCAGCGTAGAGCACTAAGTGTCCTATCCCAAACGGTTCAGCAGATAGTTAAGAGCAAATCAACGCTTCAGCAACTGCTCCACCTTGCCCTTGGGAGCACTCCTCAGAGGTTGGGTGATGGAAATCAGGGTCGTTTCCTATTCGGCTGCTACCAGTTCACCACTCGGGTTGCGCAGCATGGGGCAATCAAATGCTGGTGTTCAGCCCATTAGAAGCGATTTTTGTTCAACTCTCCGGTGGATGCTGGACCACTAACTGGTGTACTAACGGTGGAAGGCTCGACTTTTTGGTATGCTCCTACGTGGTACCACACATAGAAAACTCGATTAACAACTGTGGAAGTTCTTAAAGATCATTAAGTTGAGAGCCGGTTTAAAGTCCCTAGTGGGGCGCCAAAGAAGATTTTGACGAAAATTTTAATCGGATCAATGGATATACATTGCTTAACCATAAAATGATTCTATTTCAGTGTTTTTTTGTTTAGTAATATTTTTGAGTGTAATATGCCCATCATTCTGCAGCACTTGGACAACTTTTGCATATCATCTGGAAGGACCTGAACAACTTTGCTGAAGACTGCATCATCACAGAACAGAAGGGGAAGTACAAACAAATCAGTGAATCAAAAAGTGGTACGTTTATCTGCTCAGCAAGCGATGCGTTGTTGTAGCGTTCCACACGAGCTTGCTATGGGCACTCACACTATCATAGCATGCTGCCTATCTTAACCGCAGGCAGGAGATTCCTTCTGCCGCTAGGTGTGCTAGTGTTCTCCAATGAAAAGTGGAGCCACTTTCTGATACGAAGTTTCAGTTATGTTCTGTGGCATGATCCTTTATGGCCATTACGGTGGTTCAAAATATCTATTTTGCTCCACCAAGCTCAATCGATTCCAAATCAGGTCCTGAACATTCTCCCAAAAATTTAGCTCATTTCAATGCGAACTCATATTGCATTAGCGTTTTGAAGTTTATATGGAAATTACTATGGGAATAGTGAACTTTTCGTTCGAATCGTCCTATCCTTTCGCCATAATGATTCACGGATAAGCTTGCTATCTGTATTTAGGTATGTGTAATTCTCTCAGATACAACTTTGCTAAATACCACTTTTTGATTGGACACCAAGAAAATTAGTTATGAACTGATTACGCAGCGGATAATTTTCTGGTTCATCGACTGCTTTCAAGGCAACACTGCATTTTGCACTGCGAACACGTCATTGCGACGGTACTTATGGATATTTTTGGTCGCTATTGAAAATTTAGTCGATTGCTGAATTTATGTATGGGCCCAAATTAGGGGCATTTAGGCCGACATTACATCCATTTTCCCTAGATAAGAAAAGTTATGAAGGTATATCAATCATTTTCCAGGATGCTTTCAAGAACTGGCTGTGTTGTTATAATTTAAGCAGAAATAACCGAACATCGGTTTACTCAAGAATTACCGAACGCTGTCAAACAAACCAACCGGATTACGTAACAGAGTTCTCTACCACCGTTAGTATTAGCAACAATCAATACGAAACTAACGATTTTAAATTGGCTCACTACTTGACTAGCCTATTGGTCCCAAGCAAACGATTAACGTATTCCATTCTAGTCCAAATTCTAGTACTACACAATGTTTGCTTTGATTCGCTATGAAAGTTTGCCTGATAAAATGAGGGGTTCGTGGATTTTCCTATGTTTCGAGGGGTGAATCGATTAGCTTGGGACCGAAGATAGTACCAGAGCTGAACCAAAAAGTTGAGCTCGTTTCTTCGGGACCTTCTGGTCTTAGAGTTACCTCTATGGTATTAGTGAGATGTTTCACTACTACATACATTTTACTGGTTGAAAAAAAAAACCGCTTTCAAGTCGAACACTTTGACAGCTGATTTCGTGGTTGAAAATAATAAACAAATCGATTTTACACGGCTACGCTCGCTACACGGATAGAAATCTCCTTATACCTTTTGGCAAATTTCCATTGCTGATTATTCATAAAATGTATAAGTCAACTAATATGAAGACGCCTTGCAAAAAGTTAATAAAGATCATGTGTCAAATGAAATGTATAAGCGGTCACACATACCTTTTATGCATTCTAATAGGACCTATGTGGTTTATTTTATGGAATGTATAAGCACAAACGAAGTGACAGACGACTAACTGGCGAAGAAATCAATTAAAATAATGTGGTTCGCTGTAATAGAATTTTCTTAGAAGCTTGTGCCATCGGCCACCAGATGGGCTAGTTTTTTTGTTTTGATTTGAACATAGTTGATTTTGTGTGCAATATGATCTTTGACAGTGTGCAAAGCACAAACGAAGTGACAGACGGAGTGGCTCGAAAACTTTGGTGACGCACCTGCTAATGCAATTTTTCAGTGTACCACATGGCAACACCACTACTACTGGATTGTGCCACATGGAAACACTACTAATGGATTGTACCACATGGCAACACTAAATGTACTAGAATGTTTTGGTTCTATCTCTTTCACTCTACTCTAAACTGAACTGCATTTAAAAATGACAAAATGATACACTCTTTGCACACTGTCAAAGATCATATTGCACACAGAATCAACTATGTTCAAATCAAAACAAAAATACTAGCCCATCTAGTGGCACAAGCTTCTAAGAAAATTCTATTACAGCGAACCACATTATTTTAATGGATTTCTTCGCCAGTTAGTCGTCTGTCACTTCGTTTGTGGTGCAAAGAGTGTATCATTTTGTAATTTTATTTATGCATTTTAGTTTAGAGTAGAGTGAAAGAGATAGAACCAAAACATTCTAGTTCAATTGGTGAAAATGCTAGTTCAATCCAGTAGTAGTGTTGCCATGTGGTACAGTCCAGTAGTAGTGGTGTTGCCATGTGGTACACTGAAAAATTGCAAAAGCAGGTTAGTCACCAAAGTTTTCGAGCCGCTCCGTCTGTCACTTCGTTTGTGGTATAAGGCTGATGCTTTGGCAAAAATGTATAAGTGAAACACATGAATTAAATAATTGATTTTCGTTTCGTGTAGGTTGTATTAGTGAGATCTTGCGTCCTGCTTTAAATTTTGATTAAGGATGCTTCGAATTTTCATAAAATAAAACCAGTTTTGTCAAAGAAATGTATGAAATATATTTATTTAATCTGTTTTGGGATGAAAAAATGCGCTTTTATGATTGAAAATTATTAAACAAAACACAGGACAATCCTCAAAAATTTCTTTCACGGTAGAACCAACAATCAATTCGAAACTAACGAAACTAAAATTGGCTCACTACTTGACTAGCCTATTGGTCCCAGAGCTGAGCCAAAAAGTTGAGCACTTTTATTCGGGACCTTCTCTGCCGCTCTTCGCATGTCCGTCCGATAGCGAAAATTGGCAAGCCGACAAAATCGCGCTTTAAGTTTGCTTCGTACCATTGTTTCTTATGTGATGGGACTACCAATGTGACTGTCTTTCCAAACTTATTCAGAACAAAGTTGATGAGCTCATCCGGTATTATGAAAATATGGGTAATTAGTTACCATTTGCATTGAAAAACTCAGTTTTGACAAAAACGACTATGGGACCGACATGCGAAGAGCGGCAGTTCTGGTCTTAGAGTTACCTCTATCGTAGAACTTCGAGAGTTTGCCGGATGCTTTTCCACTAAATGCCGTTTCAGCGAATAAAAACTTCCGTAACACGAGTTACAGCGTGGAAAAGTACAGTCGATAAAAACATCACTCATAAATACTTAGTCATTTTTATTCAAATGGTTTTTAAAATGCCTTTGCAAGCCAGAGACATTACCTTGTACATTTTCACGGCAGTAGAAACAAAGTATAGCACAAGATTCTTGCAAATAAAATGAT